GAAGACGAGGAATGACCCGACCATATCTATCATAATTTGCAAACCCTGCTGGAAATTAACAAAAACTTATTGCCCCTAATTAACGAGCAAACCGAACGAGCCGAAAACTGCTCTCAACTTGAAGAACGAGTTGATAAATTAAAGAAAACATATTTACGGCATAAGAGAGAATTTTCCGGTTCCACAGCAAAAAGAGCGGCGGCCAAGGTTTTAGGAAATATCATTAAGAAAGCTATTGTTCTTGCCGAAGAAGCCACTAAGGAGGAAAAACAAGACTACAACGACTTTGTTGATGAGATTATTGGTGACGCCTTTTGTTTTTGGGAAGCACCAAATATGGATGACGAAGACTATGAAACAGAAAAAGCCAATTATGATTGAGAAATTTTTTGCCAAGATTTATATAGAAGTTATTTAACAGTAGAGGAAAAAAACGAATACGAAGAAATAGCCCTAGGCAAGGGACGAAAAGCAGATTGAATAAATTATTTAGAAAGGCTCGGTTTGAAAGAAAATGAAGAGTTTGAAGAGAGTAAAGAAAGTTTTCTTAACGACGAAAACTTGAATAACTTCGGTCGCCGAATGGGAATTTTAACTTCGGAAGGTTCCTGGCTAAATTATATTAACCGCGAAGCAGTTAGCAACTGAAAAGAACTTTTAACTCGTTCATACCTGTTTGAAATGTCTTTTGCTCTTCATTATCAAAAAGACGGCACTACCAGATTTTTAAGTTCTTGAGGTTTCGAAACTCAAAAAGAGCTCTTTGATTTATTGAAAGAGGAAAGATGAATTTACCGGAAATCATTGTGGGGCTGGCTAGAAGACCTGGAAAACGACCGAGCACTTGCTATTAACTGAAAAGGATTTGCTGATCCTACTCCGGGTGAAAGCGAAAAGTTTAAATTATTGAGCTGCCAAGAAGCGGAACCAAAAATTTTCCCCGTCTTGGTGAATTGAGCCAAAAAAGTTATTGCGACCGAAATAATGCAAACGGAAACTGACCCAGACCGTTTGCGGGTCGGCGGTTACTGGGACCAAGAATTAGCCAAAATTCTTGACCAGTCAACCCGCGACCATTTACAAAACCTTCGTCAAAATAAATTGCAAGAGTTAACGGGCGAGGGCCAGGAAGTCGCCGGCTGACCCTGAATTCGTATTGGTTTCATAGGAATTATTATTTTTTCCTTTTTGCTTTTGTTGGTCCTGGTTTATCAAAGCCAAAAAAACCGACCAAAAAAGACCAAAAAGCAAGCGTAATTTTTGGTGAATGTAACTTTATTAATTTCCACTTTGCTTAATTAGTTATATTACTCTCTTAATAATTAATGTCAGTTAATCGTTCCTTTTAATCCTTAGTAATAAGGAGTTAACGGTTTGTAATGCTGAACATTTAATTTTGACTTTGTAATAGTTTAGCAAAAAACCGGAAAATTTTTGGGATGATATCACAAAATGCAAAATAACTGCCCGCTAATTTTGTCTAGTTTCTAGTATTCAAGAGATTTGGTTGAATAAGAAACTGACATTTTTTTTT